AGGCTTTGAACCTTGAACCATTTGGTGAGCAGTTGAGCACATTAACCAGGAGTTGGCCAGGGGTCATTCTCAACTTAAGTTCTCCAGGTACTGCTTAAATGACTCCAGTGGTGAGGAGCTGAACTGCTTGCAGGGTTTTCCAGCTACAATTTTTCCAGAAGAAGACTGTTTATTCACTTCCCTCCACTAGGTGGATTAGAACTGCCAGCTTCCGGATTTGCAGTCAAGCACTTAACCATTTGCACCACTATGGCTCCTTAGAGATAAGGCCTACTGAGTGGCTTCATCTCCACTGGCTACTTGTTCTGGCAGGCCGAGAGAAGATGAGTTAGCCCTCTCTCCAAGCCGGCCCGCCCCTGGGCAAAGGCATGGAGAAGGCATCCTTACCCATAATCGTCAGAAAGAATTATGAGCTCCACGGCCCAGTCCCTAACCCTCTGTCTTGCCTCTGAGAAATGGTGACACCCACGATGGACAAGAAGCCTGGCCTCCTGGACCTGAGTGCCACCCACTCAAGGGAGGTGCAGGGCAAAGGCCTTGGCCCGTTTCACAGACTCTCACCCCAGCCCCAGCCCAAAGCAAGATGGAGCCCCCACTGCCCAGCTCTAGTCAGAAGGGGTGGCTGCCTGGGTCCTCGGTGGAACAAAGCCAAGAAGCAACATAGTGAGAAATCAGTGCCCCTTTGCTTCAAACTGAGGCCCACAGAGCAGAATCCAGATCAAGCGAATGACTCCCTGTACTTCAGACCCAGGGACATCATTTCTCCTGTACCTTTCTAGAAGGGACCCTCGATGCCCAGCCTGTTTAGTCATTCATTGACCACCCTGCCACCCTGCCCTGGTCCTCTCTGGGACTCAGCTTGTCATCTCTAGCTGGAGGGCGGTGAAGGAGGGAGACATATTTCATGTGTCCAGCTCTAAAAGGATTACAACATTTGGTCATATCTGATAGGAAGTTGTCCAAAGCAAAGTTTTACCCAACTTCCTGCTTGATGTACAAAGGGGAAGACACGGGGTTCATGGCTGACAGATGTGGATGCCAACCCCAAGTCTGCCTCTGACTGGCATTGAAACCTGGAGCCTCAGATCCCTGGTCTGTAAAATGGGGGCAATAAAACAGTGGCAGGTTGGTTGTGAGGATTCGGTTAGTGAACAGATGGACACCATTTACTGAGCATCTTCTACGCACAAGCAGTATCCTGAGGCTGCTAAGGCCCCGCGGAGAGAGCGGGCACGCCTTGGTCTCTGCGCGTCAGAAGGAAAAGGTTAGCAGCACCGTGTCGGGACCAGCAAGGGCTGTGAGAGGAGTGCAGTGGGGACTCACTCAGAGAAGACTGAGGAGGTGACGTTTAAGCCGAGTCCTGAATGGTAAGGAGCCAGCCAAGTACAGAGTGGAAGGAAGAGCATTCCAAGACACAAGGAACAGCACAAGCTAAGGCTCAGAGGCAGGAAACGGCTTTTGGCATGTTCCAGAAAATCATGGGCAGCCAGTTGGAGAGAAGCCCAGGAAACAGAGGCCAGCCTGGGCTACAGGGGCTTTAACAGGCCGCTTGGCAAGTCAGCTCCGCACAGATGCAGCCCCGTTTCTCAGAGGCAGCGGTTTCTCAGAAGTCACTACCCCTGCCTTCACACAGCTGTGGCCAGGTGACGTTGAGTCTATTCTGACTCAGTGAGCCTGTAAGAGGGCAGATAGAACTGCTGCCCAGTGCTTCTGAGGCTTTACATCTTTACAGGAGCAGAAAGCCTCATCTTTCTCCACAGAGCACCCGGCGGGTTTGAACCGCTGGTCTTGAAGTTATCACCCCAATGCTTAATCCACTTCACCACCAGGGTTTCCATGACATTACAGTTTAGGAAACCCTATCAGGCAGTTCTCCTTTGATATAAAGGGTGCCTATGGGGCAGAATGTACTTCAAGGCACACAACAACAGCCTGTGAACAACCAGCAGCCAGGTTGGGGGTCTCATGTGTATTTGGTCACCAACATCTGTCCAGGGTTCTCTAGTTTAGGCATGAGTCAGCAGTTTACCTTTCAAGGTGGGAGCAGAAATCCAAGCAAAACTCAGCACCAACAATTTCAGGGGACTCAACTTTCCCTACCCAAGAAACGGCTCTTTATTGATTGATTGGTGGACCCTCTTAACCCTCTTAAGGATCTACTTCAGTTCTGAGATGGGCTAGACTCTGGATCTAGCCCAAAGTTGGGGTTTATAAAGATCTGCTGCATAAAAGGATGAACGAACTGATGGCTGGATAAATTCTCAACTGTTCCATCCACATTACAAAGGGCTGTTATGAGTTGGAACCAGTTTGGAGACAATGGCTAGGACTTTTGGTTTGGGCACTAGCATCGGGGCGAGGAGAGGCAACTGCAGCCAGACCAGCCGCAAGAGGCAGCCAACAGCTCTTGGAATGTCCGAGCCTACAAAGCCTGTTTGGGTGGAAGACCCAGGCCACCCCCCAGCGAGGAGGGATTCTGTATGCGAGGGCGCCCCATTTGCTGTCTACTGCCCAACTAATAGGTCAACAGCAGGGCATGGTGTCTGAAGGCCCCCAGTCACACTCTCAGTGCTTCAAGTGCATCCTGACTCAGAGTGACCCTATAGGACAGAATAACGCTGCCCCTGGGGGTTTCCAAGACTGTAACTCTTAAGAGGAGTAGAATGCCTCATCCTGTGGGGCAGTTGGCAGGGTCCAGTCGGCAAGATCCAACGTACCATGACACCGGGGCTCCCTAGTTGGCACACCCTCTCACTAAAAACAAAAAAACTCACTGCCATCAAGTCCATACTGACGCACAGCGACCCTCTAGGAGGTAGAACTGCCCCCTGTGAGTGCCCGAGACTGTAACTGTAGACACCTGGTTTTTCTCCCGCGAAGAAGCAGCTGGTGGTTTCAAACCGTGGACCTTGCCTGGACCACACTCTAAGGAGCATGAACTCCAGATTCTTCTGGGGAAACAAGGCAGAGCACCCTGCTGGCAAGTGCCTGCCTCTTTTCAATGTTTCCTCTCCTTTCCACTCGTGCTTCCAGGAAAGGGAGGGCAACGTTCTGAAGGCACTCAGCGGGGACTCTGCCTGCAAGAGGGTAGTTGGCTAACTCTGGTTAAGGTTTAACATGTTTTGTATTTTGTCCCTGGTTGGAGGAAGGGGAGGTGGAGTGTCAACTTCTTGTGCAACCATAAGTTGGCTCTTCTGGTGGCCACAGGGCCACAAAAGTCAGACACTTGGGTCCAACAACCAGCTATCATGGACACGGCCAACTGTCAGGAGCCCCACTCAGCACACATTTCCAGAAATATGGAGGCAGAAAGCCTCATCCTTCTCGCTCTTGGAGCAGCTGGTGGGTCCAAACTGCTGATCTTGTGGCTAGCAACCTAATGAGTAACCAAGTATACCACCAGGCCACCGAGATTCCACTTACTAAGTGGCAATTCACTTCTACCCCAAAGGGCTTCACCCACTCTACCAACCTGAAGGAAATTCAGCTGGAGGCAAAGAAACTTGGCATCTTAGATTTTCAGCTGATGTCAAGAAAAACGCATGTCCCTTGCCAACCCCTACACCCCCCCACCCGCCGCCGCCAAAAAAAGCCAACCAAGTTTGTTGTCATGGACTTGATACAGACTCATAGCTGCCCTACAGGGCAGGGGAGAACTGCCCCTGAGGGTTTCTGAGACTAACTCTTTACAGGTGTAGAAAGCCCCATCTTTCTCCCAAGCAGCGGCTGGTAGATTCAAACTGCTGGTTTTGCAGATCATAGTCCAACGAATAACCACTATGCCACCAGAGCTGAGCAGCTAGAAACCGCATGTTCCTGCGGTTCAAGGTAAGGGCTAAGCAACCAGATGAAGAGTGCGCCAGCCATAACCAGGGACCTCTGAAAAAAGAAATACATTCTAACAAGCTGGCAATAGGTAAAGTGATTGGCACCTTCAACTTCTCTGAAACAAGAACAGTACTTGCTCTGTTTGTCTGGGAGAGAGGTTTACATACAGGCATACCTCGGTCCACTGGACTTCACTTTATTGCTGGTTGGCAGATAGGGCTGGGTTTTTTTTAATATAAATTGAGGGTTTGTGGCAATCCTGGTCGGGCCAGCCAATGCACGCCATTTTTCCAACAGTGCGTGCTCACTTCCCATGTCTGTCACATTGTGTTAACTCACAGTATTTCAAACGTTTTTCATGATGCTACACAGCATCAGTATAGAGACAGTATAGTGGACACTGGGCACGCAATGGACACTGGAAAACCAAGAAGCGTGGGTGACTTGCGTTACTGCAGTGGCGCAGAAGGGGCCCACCATATGGCCGAGGTAGACCAGGATTTCATTTTGCATTTAATCCTCACACAAGTCTGCAGAAACTGGGGCTGAGAGGTGAAACCACTTGCAGTTAGGAAGTGCCGGGCGGTGTTCGAACTCACGTGCAGACACCTCCTGAGCCCTCAGCCTCCGCCCCTTCCCACCCCTAAACAACTCCTCCAATAACACCACCGTCCTATTTGCAAAGGTTCTTTGGGCCCCACGTCCTTCTAGGAGCCGGGGGCTTCCGAGAGGTAAAGGGAAAGGCCTAGGAGGGGGGTGGGTTAAGCAGGGGTCCCAGCCCAAGGGGGCGCCCACCCTTCACAGCCGGGAAACCGAAGCGCAGCAGCTCACGTTGCTTTCGGTGGAGAAGACGCCGTAAGGCAGATTGTTGATGGGGAAATCGGAATCCTCTGCCACCGGGATAAAGGACATTCTGGCGAGCGCTAGAGCAAGGCGGCGAGCGACT